TTTTCTTTAACATTGTTATTACCAATGGAAAAGAAAAAAAAAGAGCGCGAGGCATTTGAAAACCTCAGGGGGCTAGAAATAACAAAATGAAATCGTAAGCGATAGCGTTTTCCAAAGCAATCCAGTTAGGCGATTGGCCCCCAGAACAGAGAATAATGTTTACCAGGGCTTTTCTAAAATCTTCCCCATATGAGGATAAAAAAGGGGACGAAAGTTAATACAATACTACAACAAATACTTATTGATAATAGAATAATTAATAGATTGGTGGAGACCACTGGAGACCGCAGAGCTGGCGGCTATTTCGCCCAGCGCATAAGCCTCGCCATTCAGCGGGGAAATGCCGCCAGCGTCCTGGGAACCTTTGCCGACGGGGACGATCTAGGGCAGCTTAATTTTTAATATTTTTTAATATTTGTATAGTTTTAGTGTAGTTTTATTTTAATATTTGCCATGTTATACATTGAAAACCATTATATAATAGCATACTTATCTAAATAAATTATTATGTTTGCTATTTTTGTTTTGCCTAAACTATCCCTAAAGAAGGGAATGGAAGGTGCCCAAGTTTTAATATGCATGAATTTTAACGCGAATTTCGATTAACTCTAAACTCAGTGTTTTAGCTTGAAACCTGAAATAAAGAATAACATGAATCAGGGTTCTTTGCAACCCCTAACTGGGTGAAAAGGAGTAGTAAATGTCCCGCACATTTACTACTCCTTTTCACCCAGTTAGGGCTTGATAAAATCGGAAAACGGCTGAACTGATATGTATTGGTACATTGAAAAATTTGGCAGACACATAGTGGATAGACCTGGATAAGTTTTAGATAAGGTTACAAAGGATAAGTTTTAAGTCAAAAAAACATTAGAGGGATTCCACGCGGACCAGGCAGCAGACGGGACTCGAACCCGCACCCATCGTTATCCGGGCGAAAGCACTGACCAATTATGCTACTGCGGCCCTGACGGCCGCATCGAAATTCTTCTAGTCATCTCTTCTCATTGTAGGCAACCCATTGGTCCCGGCTGCATCTGCAGTCGTTAACACCCACCAATCCGCACTGGGCCCGCGTGGTGGGTCATGGCCCAATTTTCCTATTCCATTCATAGGGAAGGCCTGTGCCCCAGCAGTGGGGACATTAATAGGCTGATGATGATGATGATTCCGATAATGCACTCCTGAAAAGGGTGCGAACCCGTAAAAACTGTTTTATTTAATGAGTGATGTGCGTGAAAACCTAAGAAAGAAATACTATATTAATATCTATTTAATAGTGTCATTCATTGTAGAGTCTCATAGAAGGGAACAATATTTTAATCTGAGAAGGAATAAAATTCTCGTCTGAATCCCAATTATACTTTTTGTTTGCTGACTACGACGTGATTGAAAATTTAATGGCCAGTATTTATGATGGGCTTCATGAATACTGGCCATTAGACGATAAATACTGGCATTTAATAAATTGAATGCCATTTTATAACTCTACTGCCGGCCGGCCGCGACTTCGTCTACGTTAACTTAAGTTTTTTTGATAATCCCTCTAATTATAATTTTCATTTTTTAAGCATGTAACTGCTTGATGTTTAAATCTAAAGAAAATATAACTAGAAAAAATTCCACGCGGGCAGGCAGCAGACGGGACTGGAACCCGCACCCTTCGCTATCCGGGCGAATGCACTGACCAGTGCTGATATTTTCTTTAGATTTAAACATCAAGCAGTTTCATGTTTAAAAAATGAAAATTATAATTATAATTGCTATTTCTTCTTTCAAATGTTTAATACTTGTAAAAGCTTAACCTTTAAGGTGTATGGCTTAATAAAGAATAAAGAAAAAACTTGTAAATGTATTCATTTGACATTGTGGGTTGCCTACAATGAGAAGAGATGACTAGAAGAATTTCGATGCGGCCGTCAGGGCAGTGCTTTCGCCCGGATAACGATGGGTGCGGGTTCGAGTCCCGTCTGCTGCCTGGTCCGCGTGGAATCCCTCTAATGTTTTTTTGACTTAAAACTTATCCTTTGTAACCTTATCTAAAACTTATCCAGGTCTATCCACTATGTGTCTGCCAAATTTTTCAATGTAGCAATACAAATCAGTTCAGCCGTTTTCCGATTTTATCAAGCCCTAACTGGGTGAAAAGGAGTAGTAAATGTGCGGGGCATTTACTACTCCTTTTCACCCAGTTAGGGGTTTCAAAGAACCCTGATTCATGTTATTCTTTATTTCAGGTTTCAAGCTAAAACACTGAGTTAAGAGTTAATCGAAATTCGCGTTAAAATTCATGCATATTAAAACTTGGGCACATTCCATTCCCTTCTTTAGGGATAGTTTAGGCAAAACAAAAATGGCAAACATAATAATTTATTTAGATAAGTATTTGTTGTAGTATTGTATTAAACTTTCATCCCCTTTTTTATCCTCATATGGGGAAGATTTTCGAAAAGCCCTGGTAAACATTATTCTCTGTTCTGGTCTTCAGTGAAAATACCAAGTTTCGAGTTAATCGAAGTGCGCCTTAAAATTCATCCACTTAAAAACTTGAACGCTCTCCCAGTTCCCTTTTAGGGGGTAGTTATGGAAAACTAAAAAGTGTATTACCTCGAAGAATAAGATTTTTCATACAAACTTTCATCCCCTATTTTAAACTGTTCTGGGGTGAATTTTGAAAAATCCTTTCTTCGTGCAACCCTAGACCACACACATAGAACCTACATGCCAAATTTGAAGTTCTTAGACCCAGCGTCTTAGGCTGTGCGTTATTAATATGTCAGTCAATCGGTCACTTAGTCAGTTTCTTCTTTTATATATTTAGATTTACTTTATACATTGTATCCATTCGGGTTCAATTAATGAGCTAATTGACACTACCAGAAAAACCATAGAACACAGAAGATGTTAGAATGGTGATCATAGATCGTTTGTTCGGGAACCGATGTCGCCGGCTCGCCCCTAGTACACTTCCACCTAATAGATAATAGCCATTCAAACGACGCGACATCAAACAATTGAACCAATCAGCGATCACACCCGAGAGCAACGACGCAATCAGAACCAAGTTTTGCTCAAGTTATGAGCATTTGCTCACACATATCCTTGTCGCGCCTTCCCCGCCCACAAGACCCTTCTAACGTCTGTTTTCTGTGCATAAAACGATGTGCTGGGATGCCGTGGTATGAACACTTCGAATATTTTACATATTGCTGCCCCTCTAGTTTAGCATGAGCACCGCGATATGATATAATCACATATAGTTCTATCAGAGTCTTGTAGTTTCACCCGCGTTAATTTGAGGAAAATACTCATAGTGAGTGAAACTTAAAAGACGGACATATTACGCTGTCGCGGACTTTTACATAGAAAAAGTCCGCATTTTAAAGGAAAACATTTCCATTATACATGATTTTTGTGTAGTTTAACCGTTTACGCAGCACACGCAATGTATTATAAGGTCTTATACTGAATATATTCTTCCCCGTTTTTGCAAAATTTTTCATCAGTTCTCCACTCCTATTGGTCGTAGCATGATGTTATATGGCCTGTAATATTTATTTATCAACGAAGGCTATATATAGCCTTTCTTGATAAATAAATATTTTTTCAAATCGGACCAGTAGTTCCTGTGACTCGTTCGACTAAACAAAGTCTTCAGCTTTAGCGAGTATTGATTTGTATCACGCTCAAAACCATCATCAACCATGACCATAATCACGGTACTTATACTAGCAAGGCTGATTGGCGAATTGAGGCTACTGTCTCAATACGAAAAGTAGAGCAATGCTGTGACACCGCTTTTGGATTAAATAATAGTAATTTTTAGGGTTCCGTAATCCTGGCAAGGAATCTGTATTGTTTTGAAATGTCCGTCTGTCTGTCTGTCCGTCCGAGGTTTTGCTTGAACACTGTTGGCACTGTAAGAGGAGGAAAAGGGCTGGAAATTAGTGGAGGTATGTAGTACCTATATCTATTACGCCGACAAAGTGGTACAATAATATTTTTAAATATATTTTTAGGACAGCTACAGGATAGCATTTTATTGAAGTTATACTTCTTTAGGCGCGTTATGAAAAAATGATGAGAGTGAAATTTTAAGATGCGCGCGCATCACTGTAACACAAAAATTAACTGTTACTTTTGTGTTTACCGCACATTAAGAAAATCTACCAATAAAATAGAAATAGAATCTCTATTTAGTGGGTGCTAACGACTGCATTGTGAAGGCCTATCAAAAGTATTTATTAATCTGGAACAACGGAACCAATGCGTGATTCAGGAGACTACAGCGCCATCTCTTGACCATTGGTGCAGTAGAACCAAAAACCACATCTTTATTTTTTGTAATAAAGTAACAGTTATAGGTATTCATATTTATAATATTTATCCACATGTTTCTAGTTTGTATATTCGGAATACGTGTTTGAGTTTAATACAAGTGCAAATCACATATGTTCTAATAAATTATATTCAGTAGCGATTTTAATTGAATGTTTTGATTATTTATTTATTTTTTCAAATTAAAACTGAACTTTATTGACTGTGTCCTTTTCCAGACTTTTTATTAATTTATTGTAATTAATTATTTGCATGCAATTAAAAACTAATTTTAAACGATGCCAAAGAAGGATAACTTCTCACGCGCCTACATAAGTACACGCACCCGTTTTTTTTTATTTTATTTACCTTTTCCAAAATTAATAAACTCTTAAGTATTTTGATTCTGTATCAACGTGTGTATTAATCTCAAGACTGTCTTTTTTCCTGTTAACCCATTTCATAACATATTCAACAAGTTAGTTACGAATGAAAAGTAAAATATTGTGAAAGAAACTCCAGAATAAAATACAATTAATTGCCTGCGTTAACAAATCTAAAAGTTAAGCTAACTAAAACTTCATATACTTAGGCTTCCACTTTTTTGTTTTCGCTGAGTATTAAATAAATGCACAAAAACACATCACATTTAAATATAATATCACGGTAAAAGAAAAACATACCTTTTCATCTATCACCAAAACCACAACAATTTCACAAAACCTCCGATAGACTTCACGTATATGTAAACAGTTATATTTGGTTACGCGTGAAAAATTCTCGGCGGAGTTGTTACGATGCGCGCGCGCCGTACCACTGCGAAACACGACTGCAATGGTTGTATAACCAGTTAACCAGTTCGCTAAGGAGGCTTCCATGTCGATATAATTCGGGGATGTTGTAACACTGAATTTAGCACGCGAAATTCGCGAATTTGCCATTTGTTACATATCTAGATGAAATAATAATAATAATAAAATAAATATTTCCAACACACTCACCAATTAGCCTAGCCCCAAAGTAAGCACTATAAGGTTTGTGTTATGGGATACTAGGGTAATGGATAAAATACATATACTGTACATATATAAGTATATTTATATAGAAATACATATTAAACATCCATGACTGGAGTACAAATGTACGTATTCAACACACAAACATCTGCTCCCACCGGGATTCGAACCCGGGACCTCTCGAGTCGGCAACACCATGAAACCCGGCGTACAAACCACTCGGCCACGGAGGTCGTCGAATGACATGAAGATGAACGGGATGCTGCGGTTACAGTTTAATCGTGTATCAATGATAGAAAATCATTTATCTTGTGAATTCTTAGGATTAAATTAATTAAATCAATTATACCCTTCTGCTGTCATTCTGCTTAGGTAGTGAACTAATTATAAAAAATAATGTATTTTTTAATTAATATTAAAAACTACGCTTAACAACGTAAGATCCAAAAACATTCTAAATAACGTAACTATTTTCGTCTAAAGAAGTAAGAAAAAATATAATTTTGCAATAGAAACTTAATAGATGTGAATATCACGGAATCGAGGTCTATGGTGAATATATTATATCATCAAAGCTGTACGTAACTAACGTTCATAAAAAAGAATTAAAGAAAAAATCTGACACACTTTTGACAGCAAAGTGATTAGGTAGCGAGACATACTTTGAAATCGTTACCTACCATGAGATGGCATTTATTGTTAAACCATGTAATGAAACCTCCAGACTGAGCTAACAATTTTTGCCCTATCATGACCTACGCGAGTGTTTGCTTCTCCCACGTACTTCCGTGGCGTCTTAAACCCCTACAAACGCTGCAAAAATCGTGTATTTCGCGGTGCCACGGGCGGCCCGTGGTACGTGCGTTAAATTAGATTCCATCGCGAACTAGGTACTTACATGAAGTACAGAGCATGTTTGAGGGGCCTTGTGTCGTTCTGGCTATCCCACAGTGATAGCGAAGCTCCGACCCTACCCCCTGTTAACCTTGTTTGAACGTCAATGAAGCTTAAAAAAACATTTAGAATCCCTCAAAGGAGATTGCTCAAATTGGCCGAAACGCACAAAAAATATTGACATACACGGTAATTCTTGGCGTAATTTATAATTTAATTTACAGTCATTAGATTTCCACGGACACCTTTGTATAATATATTTACTTTAAAAAGGTCTTTAGGCCAAACATGTATGGAAGGTGAGCAATCTCCTTTAATAAAGATTTATTTTCTAATCTGCTGAAATCCAAGAAAATAATTATAGAAAAAAATACGCGTTTCAGGTAGCATCCTGAACCGCCCAGAATCTGTGCATCTGCCCGGATAGCTGGTGGGGTGGGGGTTTGTGTCCCGTCTGCTGCTGGAACCGCGTGGATTTTTTTGTAGTAGGTAGAAACACCACAATTAGTTAAAATTTCTGTTAAAAAAATGTTCTAGTGATCAGCAGTAGCGCTATCCCTAGAGAACTTACTTCTTAAATAGCATCTACTTTTGCTGTGTATGAAAGAGTTATATTTAAAAGTTACGAAACATGGCCATATAGCTTTTCACATACAATATTTTAAAGGCTATATAGAATGGGGTGGGAGATCCTAAATACCATAAGCGTTAAGTTAATAAAAGAACAAAATCCATTTGTGATTCTTCCTTTTCTAAAACTTTAATTTCAATAAAATAAAAGTATATCGATGCATTTTGTATAATACTCGTGCATCACTTTAAATTTCGTACTTACTAAGTTTTAAAGTAAGCCCAGAAACAGGTTTATCATTGCATTATGTGACGTACTGGAACCAGTGTGTATTCGTACGAAAAAGTTTTTACAGCAACTTACTTCATTGAAAAAACATCTTATTGCAGTTTGATAGGAATAAAATTGAATAGAAATAGGCTGATAATTGGCCCTTTAAGCGGAATTCGTAATTTGCTGAACCGTTAGTAAATTCATTATAAGTTTTCTATTGAATGTGGATCCACAATGCTATTAAATACAAATAGGGGTTAATTAACAAAATAAAGCGACTTTAAAATACTCAATATTAATATGTTTTAAAATATTTCAAAATCAACAGTACAAATGAATATTTATAATGGTTGGCATAGCAAAGAATGGCACACCACAACTTTGATGTTTTGTAAAATTATAGGAAAAACTACTAAAATACAATTTTCATTTATGATTAGATCAAAAAGAAAATTAGTATAGGTTCCCCTAGTTGTTGCTTTGGCAATATAATCATTCCAGCAGTGCTATTTTGTAAATGTGGATCCGCGGATTGATATCGGAACCGCGCAGAACTCAATCTCTTTCTATATCAAATATGAAAAATGCGAAAGTCGTTTGGACGCATTCGGATAAAATTAAGCAATTCGTTTTCGGCGATATTTGGCGAGATCGAGACCAACGAGAATCTCGGTCCGATATGCAATAGCGGGCAACAAACTCTTGTATTATAGATAGTTACTACAGCGTCGAGTGTGTGTAAAAAAAATATAATTGAAGTTACACTTCTTTAGGCGCGTTATGAAAAAATGATGAGAGTGAAATTTTTAGATGCGCGCGCATCACTGTAACCCAAAAGTAACAGCATGAAGTTGGCCGCGGGCGCGTTATGAAAAAATCATGTGAGTGAAATTTCGAGATGCGCGCGCATCACTGTAACACAATAGTAACACCATGAAGTTGGCCGCGGGCGCGTTATGAATGTTAGTGTCTAATAATGGTGGATTATTAACCACTTAGTGGTTAATAATCCACCATTATTAGACATCTGTTCGAAAGGTACTTTGAACGATCCACGGAGCTCCATAAGATGATCGCGTTGTCAAAAACAATGTTGGCACGCTCGTCGCCTCTGATCACTGTTTTCATATTTATAATATTTATCCACATGTTTCTAGTTTCTATATAGACACAACGTGTTTTAGTTACTTACAAGTGCTAATTACATATGGACTAATAACTTAAATTCAGTAGTGATTTTAATTGAATATTTTGAATATTTATTTAATTTTTCAAATTAAAACTGAACTTAATTGACTGTGTTAACTATCCTTTTCCAGTCCTTTTATTATTTTATTGTAATTATTAATTATTTGCATGCAATTAAAAAATATTTTTATTGATGCTAAAGAAGTATAACTTCTCACGCGCGTACATAAGTTACACGCATCCATTTTTTTATTATATGTTGTTTTAATACTATCGGGTTACGGTTAGGTATATCGTAGATATTCAAGTAAAATCAGAAAAAAACCCGGAGAAATGCAAGCCTCACATGAAGAATTCCGTATCATTGTAATAATTAACACGATCAATATAACGTCAAAAGAGAAACGAAACACTTCGTCTCTTACCCCGTTTTTAATAAACGAAGACTATGCTTAGATTAGTTACTCTATGTTTTGTCTTTGTTCATTGAATGACAAATGGCACTTGAGTGATATGAACAAAACACGGCATAAATAGTCTAAGCCTATTCCTTATTTATTAATAAGGGGGTGAGATTTAGATACTTTAATTATTATTTTTTACACTATAATTTCCTAGCCCCAAAGTTAGCACTGTAAGGCTTGTGTTATTGGATACTAGGGTTACGGATTGATTACATATACTGTACATATATAAGTATATTTATTATAACCACTCGGTCACGGAGGTCTAATTGCTGCTAGTATGTGCGTATATAAAATTTGACTTATACATGATTATAAATCACGTATAAGTAAAATTTTATATAATATATAATTAATGTTGAACATCAAGAATCATGAATTAAGGGTCACAAAGTCATAAAAGCTATCGTAATGCCCCTTACTGTATCTATGGTAGTAGAAGTATAACTTTGATATATGTCTGCTAACGCCATCTGTTGGAGGTTAATCAAAGCTGGTTAGCGTTTCTGTTCTAAAAAGCAATAATAGCTCCGATGCTTTACAAGCAGTAAAATTTCCAGAGTGTTGTTGTTATGGTTTGGTTTTCTTGTTGATTGCCAACGAGTTTTTAACAGTGTGTGTAGATGGTGCTTACAAATAAACAACAATAAATGATTAAGTTTAAAGTTTAAAGCACGTATTGCTACTGGTTTGAGTTGCACAACATGCATTTACAAAAATGCATTTAAAGATTGAGAAGTTTTGATATTTATACAAGCAAAAAGCAATTCCTAGAAGGTAATATTGATTATGAAACTCAAAACGTTTTTCTATCGGATTTTGTCGCTGTATTAAAGTCCGGCCGCTCAGAGAATGCGTTTCTGACAGGTCGTGTCAGTTCCTTATGGTGATAGCATTAAAGTTAATTTTCGAACCTCTTTTTTAATTAGATCTAAAGTGTACTTTATTCTGTCGCAATAAGGAACTATTAGGAAGGTATTAGGTGTTTTTTAATCGACTTCTAAAAGGAGATGGTACTCAATTCATCTTTTTTTTATTGTTGTTCGATTTTATTGTTGTGCGTGGACCGATTTTGATGATTATTTTTAGGCAGGTAGTCCTATATTAATATGGTGAAGATCTGAGCAGTACTTTCGGAGAAAGCAATGGAACTCCTCGATTACTTAATTCGTGTTGGTTATTTTAAGAGATATAAAAGAAATAATGCAGACCGGCCTATAGTTACTTAGTTTATGTTACTCTAGCTTATTAAAAGTGGAAAATAAAAAGTTATATTACAAACATTAAAACCGACTTATGAAGTCGATTTTGTTTTTTTCATCTATTACTACTGGCAGTACCTAGCTTTCGCTTACAAATGTACTGCGTACTAAAACGTTACTAAAACTTTTGTCAGGAAACTTTCATGTGGCCACTTCCTAAAAGCGAACGAGTGCGCTAATTCAAGCAGAAAATCAGCTGTGTCCAACCCTTCCAACAATTCAGAC